CCAGCTGTTAGAATCTAGCCCAGCCTGTAACCTTCAGTTAAGGTGGCTAGATCCCACATGGCTGACTGTGGGGTTCCCAGGCCCGGTAGCTTGGAAAATTGTGCCGGGCAGTGTGACCATCCCCCATGGGGTGCTTTCGTACGTTCTGTCTCTGGTGAGCACACATGCCCTCTGGAATTGTGTGGTTTTAGAGAAATCTAATTGTAAAAAGGCAGGCTAGCTCACCACTGCAGCAGAGATGGCAGACCATGATCCCAAAGCCACGTGGGAGGCCCCGAGTTGCACCTGAGTCCCCTCTGAGTGCCAGGTGCATGTCCATGAGCCTGCTGGCTGTGGCTGGGGTGGGCGGCAACCTGAGGATCCTGGGGGGGTTCTCTCTCTCTCTCCCTCCTGTCTCTTAGAAGAATAAATAAACTGAAAAAAAAAAAAAAGAAAATATAATGGAAGAAAAAGTGAGGCTGGGCTCTTGCTCCGAGGCCTGTTTAGCTGGCCCACCTTCTGCACCAGGTGGGGACAGGTCCCAGGCCCTGAAGCGTGCTGTCTCGCGTTCCGTATTTGTCAGTGCGCGGGTCTCTTCCCATGTGGGCATTTGCTGTCCTAGAAGCGCACTTAAAATAATCACAGTCGCGGGGGTGAGGCAATCACTGGGGACAGAGAGAGGAAGGAGAAGGACACACCTGTCCGTGGCCGGTAGGGTCAGCCCTCAGGAGAGGAGAGAGAACGGCTGGCCAGTGGGAGGTTGAGGACAAACACTGGGAAGGGCCGGCTGCTGGGAGGGAGGGTGAGTGTGCAGGCCCTCCCGCGACTGTGTCGGGGACCCTGCATCCAAGGGCAGGAAGCTCCTGTTATGCTGCCTCAGTGGCCTCATCAGCTGGAGGGCCCTTCACGCGCCGGAACCGGTGTCCTCTCATGCGTCATCTCTCCCTTTCCTGACTTGCCGAGGTTAGGGGAGAGTGGGGAGTAGAAGGGTAGGTCTCCTGGTTGGACTGAACAAGCCCAGGCCTGAATGCCACCAGCCAGAGGATATGTGGAGGAGGACCCGGGACCAGGGACCCTGGCTGTGCAGCCCTTGGAAGCAGCCAGAGGACTTTTCTGGCAGTTCTGCCACCCACCTCTTCCTGGGGACGTTGCCCTAAGCCAGGCCAGAGCGCCTGCCGGGTGAGCTCCGATGCCCAGGAGGGCAGTAACTGTCCCCGAGGCCAGGCTTCTCTGGCTACGGCTGTGTGGGCCCAGGGGACTTCCCTGGTCC